CAGGTCTTTCGACGATTTCTGGTGAAATTTCTTGTGGTCTCCCCTGGTCTTCCGGCTTTTTGGTAATTTTAATTGTGGGTTTTTTTTGTTCTTTCGGATTTTACTAATTAATTTTCTGTCTTTAGATTTTTCGACAATTTTTGGTGAAATTTCTTGTAGTCTCCCTGTTCTTCCGGCTTTTTTGGTAATTTTAATTGTGTTGGTTTTTTTTTTCTGTTTTTTCGGATTTTACTAATTAATTTTCTGTCTTTAGGTCTTTCAGCGATTTCTGGTGAAATTTCTTGTAGTCTCCCCTAGTATTCCGGCTTTCTGTTAATTTTAATTGTGTTGTTGGAGATTTTTTCTGTTCTTCCAGATTTTACTAATTAATTTTCTGTCTTTAGGTTTTTTCTTGTGGTCTCCCTGGTCTTCTGGCTTTTTTGGTAATTTTAATTGTGTTGGTTTTTTTCGGATTTTACAAATTAATTTTATTTGTCTTTAGATTTTTCGGCGATTTCTGGTGAAATTTCTTGTAGTCTCCCCTGGTATTCCGGCTTTCTGTTAATTTTAATTGTGTTGTTGGTGTTCTTCCGGATTTTACTAATTAATTTTCTGTCTTTAGATTTTTCGACGATTTTTGGTGAAATTTCTTGTGGTCTTCTCTGGTCTTCCAGCTTTTCTGGTAGATTTAATTGTGTTGTTGGTTTTTTTTTTTCTGTTTTTCCAGATTTTACTAATTAATTTTATGTCTTTAGGCCTTTCGGCGATTTCTGGTGAAATTTCTTGTAGTCTCCCCTGGTATTCCGGCTTCTGGTAATTTTAATTTTGTTGTTGGGGGTTTTTTTCTGTTTGGATTTTACTAATTAATTTTCTGTCTTTAGGTTTTTTGGTGAAATTTCTTGTGGTCTCCCCTGGTCTTCCGGCTTTTCTGGTAATTTAATTGTGTTGTTGGTTTTTTTTCTGTTTTTCCAGATTTTACTAATTAATTAATTTTCTTTGTCTTTTGACGATTTTTGGTGAAATTTCTTGTGGTCTTATCTGGTCTTCCGGCTTTTCTGATAATCTTAATTGTGTTAATTTTTTTTTTCTGTTCTTCCGGCTTTACTAATTTTCTTTAGTCTCCCGGGTTTTCTAATTTTTTCGGCGTTTCACTAGTGTGCTCTTCGGGTTTTCCTGCATTTGGACTATTTTTGGGTCTTTCGATGTTTTATTGGTGAATTTTCTTGTGGTCTTCTGGTCTAGAGGACTACAAGAAGGTTCTCCAGTAAAACGCCGAAAGTGGTCTTCGGTCGACATTTTACTGGTGAATTATATAGTTGTCTTTCTTTGAGAATTTTTGTATTTATTGGCAAATTTCTTATAGTATTTAGTTATATTGGTAAATCTTCTTGTGGCCATGTTTTTTTCTTTACATGTATATCGAATTTTATAATAAATAAAGTTTATATTGTGTAATCGTTTTTGATATGTAGAATGAGATAAATATACATATTTTTTTGTATTATATTGGGTCTTTTCAAAGTGAAT